ATAGAAATCAATACCAACAGAAACACTTAAAACTATTCAAAGTCATGAAAATTACACAAGGCCTATAACAAAAAGAAAGATCATTCACAATCTATTGTCCCATCTCAAGGAACTAGAAAAGGGAGAGCAAACCAAACCCAAAGCCAGTAGAATAAAATAAATAACCATGCTCAGAGCAGAACTAAATGAATGGAAAACAAAACAAAACAAAAATTACAAAGAATCTATGAAAAAAAAGTTGGTTCTTTGAAAAGATAAATAAACTCAATAGACCTCTTACTAGATTAATCAGGAATTGAAGGAAAAGGACCCAAAAAGCTCAATCAGAAATGAAAAAAAAGATATTACAACTTATACCACAGAAATACGAAATATCATCCATGAAAACTACAAAAATCCCTATGCACATAAACTAGAAAACCTAGAGAAAATAGACAAATTCCTGGAAACACATAACCTTTCAAGGCTCAATCAGGAAGAAATAGAACTCCTGAACAGACCAAAAATGAGCAGGGAGATAGAAGCAGTAACAAAAACATCTCCCAACAAATAAAAGCCACAGACCAGATGGATTCACAGACAAATTCTATCAGACCTATGAAGAACAGCTGATACCCATACTACAGAAATGATTCCATAACATCAAGAAGGAAGGAATCCTTTCTGACTCATTCTATGCAGCCAATATCAACTTGATACCAAAGCCAGGAAAGGACACACACAAAAAAAGAAAACTATAGACCACTATCTTTTATGGATATAAATGCAAAAATCCTCAATAAAATACTAGCAAACCAAATTCAACAGTATATAAAAAAAAATAATCCACCATGACTAAGTGGGCTTCATCTCAGAGATATAAGAATGGTTCAACATATGTAAATCAATAAATGTGATTCACCCCATAAACAGAAGCAAAAACAAAGATCATGCAATCATCTCAACAGATGCAGAACAACCATTCAGCAAAATCCAGTACCCCTTTATGATAAAAAAAAAAAAACTCCAACAAACTAGACATAGAAGGAACATATCTCAAAATTATAAAAGCCATATATGACAAACCCACAGCCAACATCATACTAAATGGGGGAAAGTTGAAATCATTTCCACTAAGAACTGGAACAAGACAAGGGTGCCCACTGTCCCCACTTCTATTCAACATAGTGCTGAAAGTCCTAGCCAGGGCAGTCATGCAAGAGAAAGAAATAAAGGGTATCCAAATTGAGAAAGAGGAGGTCAAACTATCACTTTTCACTGAGGATATGATCTTGTATCTAGAAAATCCCAAAGACTCTACCCAGAGACTCCTGGAATTGATAAATAAATTCAGCAAAGTCTCAGAATACAAAATCAATGTACACAAATCAGTACCATTTCTATATACCAATAACAGTCAAGCTGAGAGTCAAATAAAAAACCCAGTACCATTCATAATACCTACAAGGAAAATAAAATATTTAGCAATATACTTAACCAAGGAGGTGAAAGTTCTCTACAAGAAGAACTATGAATCACTGATGACAAATATGGCAGATGACAAAAACAGATCGAAAAACATCTCATTCTCACAGATTGGAAGATCCATCACTGTTAAAATGTCTATACTGCCCAAAGTGATTTACAGATTCAACATAATCCCCATCCTAATACTGTAATTTTCATAGATCTAGAAAAAATAATTCTTCACTTCATCCAGAACCAAAAAAGAGCCCAGATAGCCAAAGCAATCTTAAGCAAAAAGAACAGATTTAGAGGTATCACATTACCAGACATCAAGCTATATTATAAGGCTATGGTAACTGGTAACCAAAACAGGTATTGGTATAAAAATAGAGACACAAACCAATGGAACAGAACCTAGATATAAAACCATCTAGCTACAACCACCTGATCTTCAACAAAGCAGACAACAATATATACGGGGGAAATAAAGCCCTGATCAATAAATGGTGCTGAAAGAATTGGATAGCCACATGCAGAAGAATGAAGAAGGACCCTTATCTCTCAACATTTACAAAAATTAATTCACAATGGGTAAAAGACGTAAATTTAAGGCATGAAACCATAAAAATTCTAGAAGAAAATGTAGGGAAAAAACCCTTCTAGATATCAGCCTGGGCAAAGAATTTATGACTAAAACCCCAAAGGCAATTACAGCAACAAGAAAAATAAATAAATAGGACTTCAGGCCAGGCGTGGTGGCTCACGCCTGTAATCCTAACACTCTGGGAGGCCAAGGCGGGTGGATTGCTCGAGGTCAGGAGTTCGAAACCAGCCTGAGCAAGAGGGAGACCCCGTCTCTACTATAAATAGAAAGAAATTAATTGGCCAACTAATATATAGAGAAAAAATTAGCCGGGCATGGTGGCACATGCCTGTAGTCCCAGCTACTCAGGAGGCTGAGGCAGGAGGATTGCCTGAGCCCAGGAGTTTGAGGTTGCTGTGAGCTAGGCTGAGGTCACCGCACTCACTCTAGCCTGGAAAAAAAAAAAAAAAAAATAGGACTTCATTAAATTAAAAGCTTCTGCATAGCAAAAGAAATAATTAACAGAGCAAACAGCCTACAGAATGGGAGAAAATATTTCAAAACTATATATCCAGTAAAGGGCTAATATCTAGAATCCACAAAATTCCAACAAATCAGCAAGAAAAGAACAAACAACACTATTAAAAGGTGGGCAAAAGATATGAACTGAAATTTTTCAAAAGAAGATAATAAAATGGCCAAGAATCATATGAAAAAATGTTGAACATCACTCATCATCAGGGAAATGAAAATTAAAACACAATGAGATATCACCTTATCCCTGTCAGAGTCAAGCCAAAAATGAAATCGAAGATGCAACACCTTTCACAATAACATCAAAGAAAATTAAATATTTAGGAATACATTTAACTAAGGAAGAGTGACAGCTATATAGGCAGAACTGTGAAAAACTGAGAAGAGAAATTATAGAGGATGTAAACAGATGGAAAACCCTACCATGCTCATGGATTGGCAGAATCAATATTGTTAAAATATCCATACTACGTAAAGTGACCTACAGAATCAATGCAACCCCTATCAAAATGCCATCACCATTTTTGTAGGTCTAGAAAAAATAATTCTACACTTTAGGTGGAACTAGAAAAGACCTTGTTTAGCCAAAGCAATCTTAAGCAAAAAGAACAAAAGGGGAGGTGGGTCTACCGGACTTCAAGCTATACTACCAGACTATAGTAACCAAAACAGCATAGTACTGCACAAGAACAGAGATATAAGACTGAGAACCCAGATATAAAACCAATCTCATATTGTCCTCTAATCTTTGATAAAGCAAACAAAACTATACACTGGGGAAGAGAATCTCTCTGTATTCAATAAATGGTGTTGTAAAATTGGATAACCAAATGCAGAAGACTGAAACTGGATCCATACCTCTCACCTCTCACAAAAATCAACTCATGATGGATAGATAAGAGACTTAAACCTAAGAGGTGAAACCTTATAATTATGGAAGAAAATGTTGGGAAAACTCTTACAGACATCGGCCTAGACAAAGAATTTATGAAGAAGACTCCAAAGGCAATCACAGCAACAACAAAAATAAATAAACAGTATCTGATTAAATTTTTAAAAAGCTTCCGCACAGCCAAGGAAACTACCACAAGAGCAAACAGAAAACCTATAGAATGGGAGAAAATATTCACATGCTATACATCCCTTAAAAGGCTGATAACTAGAATCTATATAGAACTCAGGAAAATCAGCAAGAAAAAAAATCAAACAACCCCATTAAATAGTGGGCAAAGAACATGAACAAACTTTTCAAGGTAAGACAGACTAATGGCCAACAAACGTATGAAAAAATGCTCAATATCTCTAATAATCAAGGAAATGCAAATCAAAACCACAATGAGATATCACTTAACTCCAGTGAGAATGGCTTTTATCAAAAAGTCCCAAAACAATTAATGTTGGCATGGATACGGATAGATGGGAACACTCCTACACTGCTGGTGGGACTGAAAACTAGTACAACCTCTACGGAAAGTAATATGGAGATACCTCAAAGAGCTAAAAACGTAGAACTACCATTTAATCCAGCAATCCCATTACTGGGCATCTAGCCAAAGGAAAAAAAGACATTTTATAAAAAAGACATCTGTACTAGAATGTTTACAGCAGCACAATTCACAATTGCAAATATGTGGAAACAACCTAAGTATCCATCAATACATGAGTGGATTAATAAAATGTGGTATATGTATACCATGGAGTACTACTCAGCCACAAAAAAGAATGGTGATCTAGCACCTCTTGTATTATTCTGGATACAGCTGGAGCCCATTCTACAAAGTGAAGTATCATAAGAATGGAAAAAAAGTACCACATGTACTAACCATCAAATTGGTCAACTGATCAATACTTATGAGCACATAGTAGTAACATTAATAGGCTGTCAGTCAGGTGGGAGCACAGAGAAGGGGATGGGTTTATTCACACCTATATTTGCACCATCTGGGGATGGACACGCTTGAAGCTCTGACTCAGGTGGGGCAAAAACAATATATGTCTTTGCCTAAACATTTGTATGTCTTAACCTAAATATTTGTACTCTCGTAATACACTAAAATAATTAAAAAAAAAAAAAACATACAGGTCAGGAGTCGTGGCTCATGTCTATAATCCTAGCACTCTGGGAGGCTGAGGCGGGAGGATCGCTCAAGGTCAGGCGTTCGAAACCAGTCTGAGCAAGAGTAGGACCCCATCCCTACTAAAAATAGAAACAAATTAAGTGGCCAGCTAAAAATATAGAAAAAATTAGCTTGGCATGGTGACACATGCCTGTAGTCCCAGCTACTTAGGAGGCTAATGCAGAAGGATTGCTTGAGCCCAGGAGTTTGAAGTTGCTGTGAGTGAGGCTGATGCCACGGCACTCTAACTCGGGCAACAGAGTGAGACTCTATCTCAAAAACAAAAAAACAAAACAAAAAAAAAAAACCTATATACATACCATTCTTATTTGTGTCCAGACTATTAAATGCCAGTCTCATTTTTTTCTCGTGGTCTTGAAGGTACCGCAAAAATTCTCCAAAATCTAATTTTGAATCAGCGTTGGTATCTCCGGCCCTAAAAATTACCTATAAGAATGAAGAAACTCATTACAGAGATACAGCATAAGTAAAGCCTCTATATCATGCTAACATTTGCATGTTTCACTCATACTAATTATTACTTCCATAAGCTTCCACTATCCCAGTTTTTCAGTCACAGCTACAAGGCTAAGTATATTAAGCAATGTTTAAAATTTGTGCAATAGTAAAAAGCCACCATGTCATTCCAAATAATTATGAATCTTAATAGTAAGTGTTTACCTGATGTAAACAATGAATGCCAAGTACTTCAAGAGAATAAAGATACTAAGATACATAGCCTTTGCCATCAGGAACCTCACAATCTGTTAACAAATGAAATAAAATATGGATAAATATTATCCATAAATAAAATGTGGAATTCAAGTATGTCTCTCAGCTTAATTAATGGTTTGAGACCTATCCTTGTAAAGTATAAATCTCACTGGGCCTTATGCTTTTTAAATAAAAAAATTAATAATAATTTTTAAATGCACATCATATATATTTCCAGCAAACTCCTACCTCATAGGCCATGTCTTGTTCAGCTTTCTAACATCAATACCTGCATACAGTGTGGCATAAATAGGCCCTTAATAAATATTTATTGAATTGAAAAATAAATGCAGTAAGCCAGGTACTGGACGAGGTGCTAAGGATTAAAAGGCAAGAAGATACAGTCTCTGTCCTGAAGGAATATACAGACTTGTAGAAACCACTCACATAACCAAAGACAATCTGTTAGGTGACATAATGGGAATATATTCAAGGTACAGACTTAGGGGGATTCGGGAGAGTCTTCACAGAGGAAAAGTGCTTGAGCTGAGACTTGCAGAGAAAAATAGGCACTAGCTGGAAAGATAAATGAAAGGAGATATTCTAAGAATATGTGACAGTATTTTCAAGGAGGCAGAATAGATGTTAATTGGAAAAACATAATAATAATAGTGATAACAGCTAATACTCATGGAGCACTTCTAAGCGCTTTATATGTATAAACTTATTTATCCTTCATAACAACACTAAATGGTTCCAATTTGCTAAGGACAAAAAGCAAGGGAGAAAAGTAAGAGATAAGACAGGCAGGGGAGAGATCATGAGGGGACTTACATGCCACAAAAAGGATTTCAACTTAATTCTGCAGGTGTTTCCCAATGAGTGGGATACATATGGTGTGAACATGGAAATAAACAACACTAAATCACAGTGTGAGAAAATTATTCCTGTTCCAATTTTCTTTCAGTCCTCCTGAGTGCATCATAGAGAACATCTCAATGTGCTAATAAGCCTCAGAAATTGCCAAAATTTTACAGAAAAAAACCAAAGTATAAGCCTTAGGCTCACCTTCATCAGACAATACAGATAATCCCTGACATACAATTTCTCAAGTTTATAATTGATTTCTTGGGGTATTAAGTGCATTTTGACTTAAAATATTTTTGGTTTATGATGAGTTTATTAGGACATGACCCTATCATAAGTCAAGGAACATCTATATAGTATTTAGCCAGAATTTAATAATAGAAACTTGTTTTCAACTTATTTATTTTGTGCTGACTTGTAATCTACTAGTTTTCCATTTATGGAAGTGATATAAAGTTTTATTTTTAAATAAATTTTTGAAAGTGACATCAGCAAGATGGCAGAACAGGAAATAGGAAATCTCAGGCTCCATTGCTCCCCAAAGAGAGTTCAATTAGCAACTATCCACAGGCCAGACCATCTTTTTAAAAACTCCAATACTTGCCAACAAACCTGAGATACCCGTATGGTCCAGAAAACTGAATTAGAAGTAAGAAGAATGGTCTCACATTGACCATACTGCCCTGCCCCTCCCCTCCCTTAAGTCAACACCAGACAAAGAGAATTCCCTGGGTTCACGGTCTCTACAGGGGAAAAGAGAACCAAAAGCAGTCATTTGGTTTCCCTAGCATTCTGAAATTCTTCTCAGGAAGCCCTTTCTAGTCTCACCTCATGGGGACCACTGGGGGAAATGGCATGACTCGGCCATGAGAGCTAGGGAGAAACAAAGAGAAGAGAGAGGTCTTGGTGACCAGCATGCAGATCTTTGTGGTACCTTTGTGTTTCTGCCAGCTGTGGCACCCAATCAGAGATACAAGCAAACTTTGTAGGCCCACCCACTAAGCTGAGCCGATCACCTTCAGAAGCACGGTAGGAAATTCAACCTATCTTGAATCCCTAGATGCCTAATCTCCAGGTCCAGCCTCAAAGCCCATTCAGTGACACTGCCCAGGCAGGGAGACACCCACCTCCACCCATTTCAGAGAAACAAAGGGGCAAGACCAGCTTGACCAGGTAACTCAAACAGTGCCTCAACCCAACCAAAACTCCAACCCACAGCTCCACACTGACAGAGAGGTAATTTACAATCACACTTTTCTAAGAAGTATAGCCTATGATCCCACCTGTCACAAGCAGCAACTTCACGTAAACTTGGAGCACAGATCCCAAAGAGCAAAACTGCCCATCCACAGAATACATCCTATGACTGGCCTGGCCAGAAGCCATCACAGTCCTGCCTGATAGCAGAGCCCAGCCAGTCATTTCCCACTTGATATCAGAACAAAGGCAGCATCCCAGCCAACCAGAGAACCCACCATAAGCTCTGCCTGCCCAGGATCATCACCAGCTGGTCCATCCAGAATCACAGGCTACACTAATATAAAGGTCTATCTGTGCCAAAAAACAACTATAAAGATAAAAAGAGGGGGTTGTCTTGCAAACATGCAGACAACAAGGCAAGAACACAAGGATTACAAAGAATCAGGGAATCATAACACCTTCAAAACAAACTAATAAAGCACCAATAATAAACTCTAAAGAAGTGGAAATCTATACAATGACTGGCAAACAATTCAGAATAATCTTCTTAAAGATGATTAGTGAATAAGAATATACAAAAATAAAATTTAATGAAATTTAGAAAACAATATGCAAACAAAGTAAGAAGTTTGAGAAAGAAATAGAAACATTAAATAGAACCAAACAGAAATCCTAGGAACCAAATAGAAATATAATGACTCAATTGAAAAATTCAATATAAAGTATCAACAACAGGCCAGGTGCAATGGCTCAAGCCTGTAATCCTAGCACTTTGGGAGGTTGTGGCAGGAGGATTGGTTGAGGCCAGGAGTTGACCAGCCTGGGCAATATAGCAAGATCCCATCTCTACAAAAAGTAGGAAAAAAAATCAGCCAGGCATTATGGCACATGCCTGTAGTCCCAGCTACTCAAAGACTAACACGGGAGGATTGCTTGAGCCCAGGAGTTAGAAGCTGCAGTAAGCTATGAAGATGCCACTGTACTCTAGCCTGGGCAACAGAGCAAGACCCTATCTCAAAGAAGAGGTAAACAATAGAACAGAAAGCATCGACTACAGACTCAATCAAATCAGAAGAAAAAAATCAGTGAGCTAGAAGACAGAACATTTGAAATTATCCAGTCAGAGGAGTCAAAGACAAAAGAATAAAAAAGAATAAAGAAAGCCTATAGGAATTATGGGTCATCAAAAGACCAAATCTGCATATAAACAGGAGGTGCAGAAGGAGAAGGGCAAGAAAGCTTATTTAAAGATACCATGGCTGAAGATTTCCCAATCTGGGGATAGATGCCAACATCTAGGTATAGGAAGGACAGAGATGTCCAATCAAATTCAACCCAAAAAGACATTCACTAAGACACATATCAAACTATCAAAATGCAAAGATAAAGAAAACATTATGAGAGCAGAAAGAGATAAAAAAACACATCAAATACAAAGTAGTACCACTATGACTATCAGCAGATTTCTTAGCAGAAACCCTGCAGGCCAGGATAGAGTGGGATGATATATTCCAAGCACTAAAGGAAAACCAAAAGAAATTAATTATCTAACACGAATTCACTACAAGGTTCAGTTTGATGGTATCTGAGATGGAAATGAAATTTATTATATAGTGTTTGTTTGGAAGAATGTAACTTTGAATCCAGGTCCCAATGAGATTAAAAGCTATTGTTTTGTGTCAAAGGAAGAACTTCTGGGGAAAAAATAGCAGCCAGTGGTGAAATTAAGACAATGTCATGGTTTAAAATTATTATTTTTTTTGAGTACAGATTCCACTTCGTTGCCCAGGCTAGAGTGATGCGTGACCTCAGCCTAGCTCACAGAAACCTCAAACTTCTGGGCTCAAGCAACCTTCTGCCTCAGCCTCCCGACGTAGCTGGGACTTACAGGCATGCGCCACCATGCCCGCTAATTTTTTTCTATATATATAGTTGCCAATTAATTTCTTTCTATTTATAGTAGAGACGGGTCCCCTCTTGCTCAGGCTGGTTTCCACCTCCTGAGCTAAACAATCGGCCCACCTTGGCCTCCAGAGCTAAGATTACAGGCATGATCCCCGTGCCTGGCGGGGTTTAAAATTATTGTAGGACTTTTCTCTTTAAACGGTAGGATAACGTAAATCATTTGAATCATTTTGTTGACCATGAGAAAATACAAAAAATGTGAATGTGGAGATAATTATTGAAAAATTTCTCTGCTTAGCAAACTCAGGATAATTTTTTTGTTTTAAATTTGTGCCCTATTAGGAAACTCTCATATGATATATTGATACTTACAACTTGTGTTAAAAATACAACTAACTATAATTTTGATTCCACAACCTTATATATAGCCTGTTTCTGAAGGATATTTGTGAGTGATTATTGTGAAATGAGAGAGAAAAAATAAAACTTAATTTACTTGTCAAAGAAAGAAAGAACAAGATAAAAACTTTCCCAGACAAACATAAAGATAAGTGAGTTAATTTCCATGAGATCTACCATAAGGAATTGCTAAAGGGAGTTCTTTTAAACTGAACACAAAAGGCCCTAGTTTTATTATAATATGGGAGGCGGAGCAAGATGGCAGACGAATAACACGCCAGACAGAGTTCTCTGCAGAAAGCAGAGTTCTAGCAGAAATTAGAGAGGAAGCAAGAGACGACATACAGCGGACAAGGGCCAGG